GCGAGGTATCCGCTCGACGTCTTACCCCGAGACGTCGAGTAGCTCGCTCGTCGTGGTTTCGACGCGTACCACGCACCACACCCTCCACCACCATAGTTTTTTTAGATGTTGGATGTTGTAGCGTTCCTAAAAAATAATGATTTTAATTTTTTAAAACTTTGTTTTAATATTCATAATAAAAAAAAAAAACTTACCATTTTTTACAGCATCATTATAGCAATGCGACAGCCAGGTGATATAACCTCCCGCATTTTCTTCAGCATCGCTGTAAATACGTCTCATTTCGACAATTTCCCCAGCAATAATCAAGAGCTGAGGATAATTCGAAAAATGTCCCAACCGAAATAACACAGCGAGCACCGCGCTAGGGCACGCACCCGCAAACTTTGCGAATACCGTATAATTATCATCGTCGTTGTCGGACAACGACGATAAATAATTATCAACGCATAGCCCGTTTAAGCTATGCGTCAATCGCAAACACGAATCGATTATTTTCCGACAACTAGACATTTTTTTAAACGAATAACTACGTTACGAACTTTGTGAACAACGAAGGTCTATTATGGATGCAGTACTTAATCCCGACTTATATACCCTTACATCAAAGATGCCGCTAAATCTTATTATAATCTTATTATATTCGCTTATTATAGTCGCTAACTAACATTCGTATCGATATCCACTATAGTTTACAATAATATAGTTCTTTATAATATGCCGAAGACGAGATGACTCGCTCGACAGTAGCATCTCCTTTTCGAGGAATAGTAATCGCGGATCTAAGGTTTCGCCAGGACGATAGGTGCTAAGCTATTCGTATCGATATCCGCTGATAGTTTACAACAATAAAATTCTTTATAATATGTCGAAGACGAGATGACTCGCTCGACAGTAGCATCTCCTTTTCGAGGAATAGTAATCGCGGATCTAAGGTTTCGCCAGGACGATAGGTCGCTAAGCTATTCGTCGTCCTAACTAACATTCGTAATCGATATCC